TCTGGTTTGCAAGTATCTGCTTAAAACACTGTGTGATGCTAATCATCTCTGTGTGAACAGTTCATGTCTCCAGTAAATTGCATATTACAATGAAAAGAGATCTGTCACAGTTCTTGCATATTTTTTTAATTGCATCCAGTGCAATACAGAAAACCTTAAATAACACCATGGGATCCATGTAAAGTGCCACTAGCAATGCTAGAAGTGCCCCCCAAGAAGCAGAAAAAAGTCATGACATTAGAAGAAAAAGCTGAATTGCTTGATATATACCATAGATGGAGGTTTGCACCCTGGTTGCCAGCAATTTCTGACATACAATTCATCTTGGAAACAGATGATGTAAACGTATGGCATTAATAAACATAGTACAGTACTATAAATATATTTTCTCTTCCTTGCAATTTTCTTAACATTTTCTTTTCTGTATCTTACTTTATTGTAAGAACACAGTATATAATACACATAACATACAGTATGTGTTAATGAACTGTTTTTGTAATCAGTAAGGCTTCTGATCAACAGTGGGCCATTAATAGTTATGTTTTCGGGGAGTCAGAAGTTATATGTGAATTTTCAGCTGGCATCTCTAACCCCTGCATTGTTTAAGGGTCAACTGCATATGCATTTTTTCCATTCCTTTTTTACACAAAAGGAATCTACTTTGTCAGATGTTTTACTATCAACTAAGATGCTGGCTTTTGTGTCGTAAAATTAATTGATTTCTATTGTATTATCATTTTAAAATCAGGCATGGGTGTTGAATTTGTCAAATGTTTTTCAGCTTCCGAGGCAATGGTTATTTTTTTCCACTTTAGATTTTACAGTATATCATCAGTATTTAAATTATAAAATATGACATTTTATTTGGACTTTTGGTTGATTTTCTGTTCTCAATAATCAACAATTCTCAACACTTTAAAACATTCCTTATGGTTTGATTTTTCTCTCCATATACAAACAAATTGAGTTTCTCTTTGATATTTTTTTATTTAACATGTTTCAGAAATTCAAAAAATACTAAAGACTATTATGCTTTCTAAATCGACTTTCAGATAATAGACTTTCCATGAATGTATTTGCTTTTCTAATTCCTTGAACAGTATGTTTAAGCTTGAAATTTTGGTGTTAAGACTCTGCTTTCTTACCATTGAGTTTGAATAATTAGGCATATCAGATACCATATAAAAATTTAAATAATTCCTTCCCTTTTACAGTTTTCATTTTCACACAGTGATGTACCTAACTTTCAGACTCCGAAATAAGGTGGGCAATGAAAGACAATTCCTGGTGCTGTTGATGGGGACTGTGGGTAGTTACTATGGCTAAATAAGGTTTGTACATCTCTCTAGGCCTCTAAGCATGTGAAAATTGTTTGGATTAAAGTTGTATCTTGTCTCAGTCTTTTCATTGTTCTCGATAATTCAGAGCTTGAAATTTGAGTAACTGTAATTTGAAAACTGAGCTACTTGTGCAACTGAATTCAAGACTGTAAAAACGTTATTTTCTTATCTAATGATGCAAAGCAGTTTCCAGATCTTTTGTCATCAGCTTCTCCCCGTCTCCAATCCTTTTTCACTTCCATATGAGAGACAAGTGCTTTAGAATTATTTGCAAGCAAGTCTTATTTTCAACATTTAAGTAAAGATTAGAGTATAATATAAAGTAACAATTCAGTACACTCCATGCAGGTGTTTCTTCTCCTTCTTTCAGTTTATTTTTCCTTATTTACCAATTCTCTTCAACTCTTTTGACCTCAAAATTCTCTATCTGCTTGACAAAAATTGTCCCTAGCTGCCTCTTCCATTTCTATTTGTGTGTGAGGTAGTCCACATAAGCAGCACACTGAATAGTGCAGTTGCTGTGTTGATCATTCCTATGGCTACAGGTGGTCATATTTTGTGTGCCCTGAAAGTCTTAGGTGATCTGTTCCATATACAATTTTAAGGCATTTACCCCACTTTTAAAAAAAACTAAAATCTTTTTAAAGCAATTATTTCAGAGTGGACATATGTTCTCTTTCACTTTACAAAAAGTTTTGGAGGGAATTTGGGAGAAGTCATGGTTAGAGATTAGCAAAGTTGGAAAGTACTGTAAATGACCTAAACCAGCTCATTTACATGTGAAAAAATCCTGGCACAGAGTGGTTAAGTCACTTGCAGAGTAACATATAAGAAAAAGAAACACATAAAGTAAAGATAAAGGAAAGGTCTGCATGAAGTGTAGTGATCTAGATTGGTGGCCAGAAATATAACTGTGATCTTATTTTCAGTTCATGGCTATTTTTACCACAAGAGGAAAACTGATCAGCCTAAATTGGTCAGGAAAACAGAGAAAGTTCTGTGCTCAAAACATAGCTCACTGTCCAGCTTGTTAAAAAAAAAAAAGACGAAATAAAGGTTAACTGTCATTATCCTCACTGTTATTACTTGATCCCACTTCTCAAGGCCTAACCACACCACTGTGTTTTGGCTTCTCTTTCACCATCATCTGCCATTTTTAAGCATTAATTCTCCAATGCTTTGTGGACTTTTCTACTCGCTATAGGCTCAATTAGTTCCTTTATTTTTTAATTAATTCATTGAATGTTTTCTCACATTTTTTATATGAACGTTGGCTCTTGAAGAAGTATTTATTACATATGTACTTTAACTCCAAAGGAAACTAGAAAAAAACAAAAACAAACTGGAACAAGAAATTAATTTTCAATTTACAAGAATATTAACAGATGAAGTATAATTAGAAAAAAATTTACTGAAGCAAAATAACCACGCTGCCATTCCATCCTTGCCATTAATAATGTGATTTGTCATAATACCAAATTAAATTCATTTTCAAAAAGCTCTGTGTTTTTTAAAACACATATTTTTCCTTAAATTTAAGCAAAAGGAGAAACTCCATTCAAGGCAATAAATATTCTAATGTTTACTATTTGTAAGGTATTGTGGGCACTGAAAAAGATATTAAAATGAGTAGGTACCTCCTTCAGTAGTTGAGTGTGTGTCTTGTTTGTTTTTCAAAAAGCTTTTGCACAGAAAGAACTCTGGAGACTGTGAGAGAATCACAAAAATTCCAACATTCCTGCCTCTTATTCAGCAGACAGAATATGAGGCACCTGATACTGTTAGTAAGTTTCACACATTAATTCAACGGATATTTATTGAGAGCTTATTGCAGGTCTAGTGCAGGTCAATAACAAATCACAAAATCCCTGCCCCCATAGAATTTGTATTCTAGTTGGGGGGTAACAGAGAATAAGCACATGAGTAAATTACATAAGTAATATTAAGAGAAACAAAGCAGGCGAGGAGCATAAGAAATTCTTGGTTTGGTTATGTTGCAGTTTTAAGCAGGGTTTCAAATAGGGTTGCCAGGGAGGGTCTCATTAGAAGGGGACCTGAAATAATGAGCTGAGTGAAATAATGTGTTAGCTAAAATGATACATTTGGCAAAGCATTCCAAGTAGAGAGGACAGCAAGCGCCAAGTCTTCAGTTGGGAGCATAACTGGCTTTTTAAAAGTTGAACTAAGAGGTAGGAGGCCAGTGTGGCTGGAACTGGCTAACTAGGGAGAAAGCAATAGGAGAAAATTTAAAGTTTTAAAGGCTAGAGATTCTGGGCTTTACTCTGATGAAAATCTCTGGAGGCTTTTGTTGAGCAGAGGAGTGACATGGTTTGATTTACAGTTTAGGCTGTTAAAAGAAAAACTTTAGACAAGTTAAATCTACACAGACACACACACACAAACGATTTATGAGGCATTCATCAGGCAGCAGCACTTAGAACAGGGAGAGGTTCAGAGAGCTCTACCCAGCACTGTGGGCAGGCAGTATTTGCAGACAAAAAAAAGAGAGTGTTCCACAGAAACAGCTTGATTGGTTATAGTTGGGCTTGTTTGGGTAGGACATTATGAAGTATTTGCCTAATATGGACATAGTCTGATGAGTTGGCAGTCTGTGATTGGCTGAAGCTCAGCTGCCTCTAAAAATAATATACTCTCAGTTGCAGTTCATTTACATACTAAGTTAGGTTGCAGTTCCCTACATAGCAACTCAGAGTAGGGAGGAAGCTTTAGGCCAAATTTAATTTAAATTAAGTTGGAGCATGACCACAGTTGGTCACGGCCAGAAGCTGAACACAGATATGGAAGCTAACACAATATCCAATAGCGAGAGATTGTGGTAGAGTACACTGGGCGAAACGCTTGATTCCTGCATTTTTGTTGGTGACACCATCATGATTTGCTGAAGAACCAAATGGGAGACAGGAAAGGACAACACAAGGAGCTGTCAGCTTTGGAAACCAGTTCAACTCTCATTATTACCTTTGCAAAAGATAGAGCCTTGTGAATTTCTAGATTCATCATTCTTATCCCAGACTATTTAACCAGAATCTCCAGGATCATGGTCCTGGAAACAATACATTTAAAACGCTTCCTAAGGATTCTTCTGCAGCCAATGTGACTTGGACTAGGTGTCAGCCGGCTCAGGGCTCACTTGCGTTGTTTACATGGAAGAGCCCATGCCCAGAGTATAAACTGGGTGTACAGCGCTGTGCAGTGTGCAGGTTGGTGAGCTACCGGATTAATCTCTGATCCCTGGCGGTGGATGCAGTAGTATTCTAAGATGCCTCAAGTGATTTGGGAACCATGGAAGGATTCCTGGAGGAGCCTGATTTTAAGGAAGCGTTTCTCAGGCCTTTGGTAAGAGGATAGAAACGAAGTTGAATGAAGAAGACAGTGGAGTGGGACTGAGAAGTGACAACGGCCCACGACAGACCTCTCTTTCAAGGTCTTTGTCACCAGATCGCAGCCCAGGAGAGGCCACAACCAGGCGCAGGCGCGACTCCACAAAGGCTACGCTCTTTGCTGAGACGGACCAACCCGTTTCCCGCCCGGAGGAGAGCTTGGGTTTCCGGAAGGACCTAATTCTGGGAGGGACCAAACCGGATAGAGGTCGCGCAACCTCTTCTGTCGGCCTTCCGGTTCACTAATAACGCGATTTCTCAGAGGGACGTGAACACGTTGTCCCTCTGCGCAGGCGTGGTCGGCGCGCGGCGCAATGGCGGGGCGGCACGTTTCTCGAGTCCGGGCCTTGTATAAGCGCGTCTTGCAGCTGCATCGTGTTCTGCCCCCGGACCTCAAAGCCCTGGGCGACCGGTATGTGAAGGACGAATTTAGGAGACATAAGGCTGTTGGTTCTGACGAGGCCCAGCGTTTCTTGCAGGAATGGGAGGTAAGTGGCGCCCTTTCTTTGCCCAACACCTATGGGGTCCCTCGGTGTCCCGGTTTCTTGTTCCATGGCCCCATGCAGGATTAAACAGTGCAGCAACCTGTTTTGTGTGAACTAAACAGCGTAATGCTGTTCAGACGACACTTTCCAAAGTTTCTCTCACGGGTTTCTCAGTGGAGCAGATCCTGTTACTTCAGCGTCTCCAATTCAGTTTAACGTTTGAGCTCCTGCAGATAACAGGTGCTGGGAGGGTGAGGATGGGTCACTGAAATGAGCAGGTCCTCGTTAAGTGCCTGCTCAGGAGCTTTTTGTCCCTTTAAGTGCCTTTGCACCTAGAAAGACCAAAGGAACTTTTTGTCCCTGTAAGTGCCTTTGCACGTAGAAAGCGCCCATTAATAAATTAATGGCTCTATTATTAGTTTTCAAATTTAAAGGCTTATTTCCCTGTTATTATTTCTTTAATCTCAGCTCTCTTGGTGGATTTAAATTTTCTCACTTGACCGTTACAGAAATCAAATAACATGAAAAAGACTATAGATTACAATAGACTGGAGATTACAAACGGTGAAGGAGAAAAATGCTGGTGGCAGTTAAGTCAGGTGAAAGTTGTTTTTCCGGGGTCTCAAGTCAGTGTTACATCGCCACGCACCGTTGCTCTAAATATTAAAGAGACACATGCACTAGCAGTAAGTCATTTGACTATTTTTTTTTTTTTTTTGAGTGAAGAAAAAAACGTATTCAGAATATTTCGTGGGACTTGGGGCCCTGCAGGTTTGCCCCTAGTTTTCACTTGCAAATATTAAGAAATGAATGGAATTAGAGATTAGAATGACAGCTCAGATATTTTAAAGCATGAGTTGGAGCCGGTATGAAAATAGAGGTAAGCAATTCCTCAGCCTGAACAGTTGAAGAGGAGATGACTGAAGTCAGCTTAAAAAAAAAAAAAAATTGTAGAAGAATGGTTAGGGTGAACACAAAATTTGCACTTCCAGAATTCTTATTTGTAGAATTATTGAAGCTTTTAAGAGTGACATTTAGAACAATGGAGAAATTTAGAACTTTCTTGAAAATCATGGTGTATTTGGTGTAATTCGCTTGCCTGAAGCCAGGGAAGTTGAAGCTTTTCAGATACAGAGCACTTTTAATAAGGTAATTTGGTCTTGGAGCCTGAAGAACTGGAGTCAGATTGAGTCTCTGATATTTATTAAGTGTGAGATAATTTTCCTAGTCTTATTTTCTCATCTGTAAAATAGTGTTTATATATGCATCTCAAAATTTATGTATGTAAATGTATTTACAAGCACTTGTATTTTGTTAATTGTTATGAAGCTATAAGATACTGTATTAAAGTATTTTACATCTTTTAAGGTACATCATTTTGTGACTGTACACAAAGGAGAGTAGCCCTCTGTTGGGAGGAAATAAGGTTATTTCGAGAAGTCTTAAAGTGTAAGAACTTGGAAGCCTTTTAGGGAAAAAGTAGGAAAGAATAGCAACTCAGAAAAAAATTGATAATAGGAGAGAGATGATAGTAGGAGAGAGAGAGGGTATATAAAAGAACTGCGTAAATAAAAAATGTGTTAGTTGACCTAGTAGGCTTGGTAACAGGTGTGGAGCGTTTTAAAACTCATAGAGAAGAGTAGCAAGACTGCGGAGTTCCTCTACATCCTGTTTTCCCTTATGTTAGCATTTTACATAGTCAGGGTACAGTGATCAAAAGCAAGAAATTAACATTGCTACAATACTATTAACTACAGGTTTTATTTACATTTTGCCAGTACTTTCACTAATGTCCTTATTCTGTTCCAGGATCCCACGGGGATTCTACAATGCGTTTAGTCATTCTTTTTCCTTAATCTCCTTTCTGTGACTGTTCCTCAGTCTTCTTATCTTTCATGACTTTGATACTTTTTTGAAAAGTACGGGTTTGTTACTTTGTGAAATGTTTCTCACTTTGAGTTTGTCTGATGTTTTCTCCTGGTTAAATTGATGTTATACATTACTGAGAATAGCACGGGGCGAACTGTTCTCAACACTTAATGTCAGAGGGTAAATGATATTAAATGACTTCTTACTGGTAATGATAACAGTGATCACTTGGTTAAAGTGATAATCCGCCTGGTGTCTCCACTGTAAACTTACTATTTTCCCCTTTGAAATTAATACCTAGTTGGAGGTAGGTACTCTCAGGATTTGCAGATGAATGCTAATCTTAGCATTCGTTGAAGGATTTTGGCATTGTGTTCCAATGGTGTTTTTTGGTTTCCCTTATTCTTTCTGAATTTATTAGTTGACATATGTCTGTAGAGAACAGTTTTCTTATCTTTCCCATTGTTGACCTAGTGAATTTAATAAATTGGCAGCTGGGTAAAGATAAATTTTAACCTAGTTATCCCTTTGGATAACATAATTCTCATAGTTGCAAGGCAGCTTAATCTAAGCCTGGGAGTAAGAATTGGTAGATTGGGTCCTACTAAGAAAGATAACTTGAAGAACTGGTCACTTTGGAAGAGTAGGGCTAGAGAAGATGCTAATGATTTGGAGGGGAGGAAAACCTGGCTAGAGAAGTTTTATCACCAGAGAGTAATATACTTAAGACTTCCAAGTCTTTCCCCCCAACATGTTCTTCAAAACATGTAATTTATGATTGTTTTACTAGATATTGTGAGATATGATATGGATTTTTATGTCTTTGTTGTTTTTCAGTTAGTGCTGATTACAAACTTGGCACCTGTTGTTTGAATCTTATTTAATAGTTACATTTACATCAAACTAAGTAACTGTTGTGGACTTCTAACTTAATATATTATGTAGAGTCTGGACTACACAATCCCAATCCCTCACACACATCTAAATTTAATTATGGACTTGAATGGATTCTGAATTTGTTTTACATCAGTGGGCAATGTTGGGTATAGTTACCACTTGATAGAATGGGATCAAGAATGCTAGAGGCCCCTGTATTTGGAAGAGAGTTCTCTAATTCCCTTATTTGTGATCCTGAAAAAGTGGCAATATCATAATAGAATTCAGTTGGGGAAAGTTTTTGTTCAAGGGCCACTTGGGGCAGGATAGAAGGAAAGTATTTCATTTAAAGTATAGAAATGTAAAAAACAGGTTTACAGACTAAATATAAATAGTGAATTTATAAGTTCGGGAAGAGTTTTTGGGAATCTATTAAGGGAGAATGTACGATAACTGGTTTGTAAACTGTGCATTGTAATCTCTTAACTCTTAGGAGGTAACTTTTAGAAGTGAAATTGAGACTCCATAGATTAGGGGTCTTACTATGGCATTTTAAATATTCTGACTGTGCTCATTTTTGGGGAATAGTTGATTTAAGTAAGGCTATTTTTCTCTCTTTGCCTACCACTTATTTTGTAGGAAATCAGAATAAGCATTGAGGATTAAATAGATAAAACATGTTGGTGAGAGAATGAGACAAGGAGCACAGAAGAGTGTGCTGTCAGGAGCTACCTGAATAGACTTCATGTGTTTAATTTTTCTTTCTCTGTCCCATTTATTTTTCTCAGTTGCCCCTTGCCTAGTTTCTGTTGTTTTTCTTAAAGAGCTGCTTTGTTCTGTGTCTGTTGGGAATGTTTTTTAAGTGTTAGTTTTGTTTCTAGAAAACAAAGGCATAAACGTTTTGCAGATAGTTTTGATCACTTACTATTGTCAGACAATGTGCTAGGCATTTAGGATGCAAAAATGAACAATAATTATATTTTATTTTCACGGTTTTCAAAGTTTAGTAGAAAAGGACAATTGTAATATAGTATGAAAGAGTGTCTACTAAATGCTGTGGGATCAAGGAGGAATGGAGGAAGTTAAAAGCTACACAAGATGGTTAAGTCTTGAGTAGGTCAAATTTACTATGTCAAAAAGAGAACTTTCTAGAAAGAGGGAATAACATATGCAGAGGCATCGAGGTAAGAAACAGTATGACTTTTTTCCAGGAACTGCAGTGTTGTGTTTGGAATTTAGCGTTTTATACAGAAGATGAGGAAGAAATAAAGCTAAAGAGGTGGGAGGAGACAGGATATTTTGCTAAGGATTTTAAGTTTTTATTTTGAATCATTGAAAACTTTTTAAATGGTAGAAATGATTTAAATAACCTGAAAAGATCATGTTAGCAGCAGTATAGAGGAATAATTGAAGAGCCAGACTGAAAGTAGGAAGAACTGTTAGTAGATTGATATAGTAATACCAAGCCAAGTAGGTATATGCCTAAATCAAGACAGAGGCCTTGAAAATGGAGAATATGGATTTATGAGGTTTTTTTTTTTTCTTTTAAAGTAGAATGGAACTTGACTTGTTGACCAATACAGTATTAGTGAAGAGAAGAAAACAGAATGGATAACTTCTGGATTTGGAGCATGATACCAAAAACCAGAATAGTTATGTAGGAGGAACAGATTGGGAATGAGTTCAGTTTGGTGTGCTTTGCGCTAAAAATTCTGATGGAACAGTTAAGTGAAGATGTTCAGAGAGATAAGTGTTGGGCTGATGCTCAGGAGACAGATTGTGGCTGGAGATAGAGATTTGGAATTTATTACCTGTAGTTGGTGGACCAAAGGTGTGGGTGGAAGTGCCCCTTTTGGGTATAGTATAGGGAAACTTGGTCAAAGAAGATTAACATTTAGGAGTTATGAGATTGAAAGTAGTAGTATAGTGCTGGAATTGTTTTATTTTTTTTCCATTTGTATTTAGTTGTTCTTAGCTACTGCTGCAAAGGAATGTACTTTTTAACTTTTTAAAAATTTTAAGTTTTGGGATACATGTGCTGAACCTGCAAGTTTGTTACATAGGTATATATGTGCCATGGTGGTTTGCTGTACTATCAACCTGTCCTCTAGATTTTAAGCCCGGTGTGCGTTTAGTATTTGTCCTGATGCTCTCTATCTTTCTTCCTCTCATGCCCCTGACAGGCCTCAGTGTGTGATGTTCCCCTCCCTGTGTCCATATGTTCTCATTGTTCAACTCGCACTTAAGAGTGAGAACAT